AAGTAATAGTTAAATCAGTAGAAACAATATATATATTGATTATGTATATAAATGGACAGATATAGCATATATATGAAAAAAGAAAAAAAAGAAAAAAACTATGTAAATACTAATATAATAATAACAAAAAAACGAAAAAGGGAAAATGAGAAAGAAAAATAAGAAAAGAAATACCCTTTGGCATTTCACGTGTCATAAGGAGAAGAGGATGAAGAAGGAGAAAAGACAAACAAACATCAAAAAATTCAAGACTTTGTGAGTTTGGGTCAGTGGGGCCAAGTGAGGGGGGGGGATGGAAGGGGAGGGGAGAGGAGAGGGAGAGGGGGGGAGGGGGATGAGTCGGAGAGGAGAGGGAATGAGGGGGAGGAGGAGGAGAAGGGAAGGGAGGGGAGAGGAGGAGGAGGAGGGAGAGGAGGGAGGGAGGAGGAGGAGGAGGAGGGGAGGAGGGAGGAGGAGGAGGAGGAAGAAGAAAAGAGAAGAAGAAGAAGAGGAAGAGGAGGAGGAGGGGGGAGGAAGAGGGAAGAAGAGGAGGGACGAAGGAAGAGGCGGCGAGGCGAAGGGAAGGAGGGGAGGAGGAGAGTAATTGGCATAGGAATGGGGGAACTGGAAGAGGTAAGGAGGAAAGGGTGAGGTAAAATTATGGGAAGAACTGAAAGAGAGGAGAGAAGAAATATGGAGGATACGGAGCAAGTTAGGAGGAAAGAGGGAAGACGAAAGGGGGGGAAAGGACGAAGGAGGAGAGAAGAGAGAGAAAGAGAGAGAGAGAGAGAAAGAGAAAGAGGAGAGAGAGAGAGAGGAAAGAGAGAGGAGAGAGAGCGAGAGAGAGGGAGAGAGAGAGAGAGAGGACGAGATGAGAGACGAGAGAGAGAGAGAGAGAAGAGAGAGAGAAGAAAGATAGTGTACGAGTTGAGTGATGACGGTCATTTGATGTGATGACACGGAGAAACATCGCCATAACTCTCGTCGACTTCCACCAGCCGTGCGATGTCTTCCGAAGGCGATGGATCTCCTCATCCTTCTGGGGGAGAAACTCACAATGTACTCACCACACACACACACACATCACCACCACCCCTTGCACACTCGTCTCAAATTATCACACATTCACCACACACTCATTAAACAGTCATCACTCACGTATCAAACACACATCACGCACTCACCACGCACCCACAAAACACAATACACTCACCACACCCTCATCACACACTCACCACATACTCATCACACACAAAACACTCACCACACCCTCATCACACACTCACCACATACTCATCACACACAAAACACTCACCACACCCTCATCACACACTCATCACAGCCGCCAAGCATGAGGCAAGCGGCAGCCGAGGCGCATCCTGCAAGTCAATTAAAGTTCGCCCAAATTGTACATTCGTAATGAGTCGCTGAGTCCTCGTTTCGGGGGGGGTTATGAGGGGGGTGAATGGGGGGGAGGGAGGGAAGGAGGGGAAACGAGGGAGAAGGAGGAGGAGGAGGAGAAGAAGTAACAGTAATGTCAGTAGGAAACAATATATATATAGTATATTATATATATATTATATATATATATATATATATATATATATATATATATATATATATATATATGGCCACGATATCTGCATATATATGAAAAAAGAAAAAAAAGAAAAAAACTATGTAAATAATAATAATAATAATAAAAAAAAAACGAAAATGGGAAATGAGAAAGAAATAAGAAAAGAAATACCCTTTGGCATTCACGTGTCATAAAGGAGAAGAGGATGAAGAAGGAGAAAAAGAAAAAAAAAGAAAAAAAATCAAGACTTTGTGAGTTTGGGTCAGTGGGCCAAGTGAGGGGGGGGGAGGAAGGGGGGGGATGAAGAGGGAGAGGGGGAAGGGAGGGGGAGAGTCGGAGGGAGAGCGAGAGGGGGAGGGAGAGGGAGAAGGGGAAGGGGAAGGGGAGAGGGGGAGGGAGAGGGAGAGGGGGAGGGGGAGAGGGAGGGAGAGGGGGAGGAGGAGGAGGAGGAAGGAGGAGGAAGAAGAAAAAGAGAAGAGAAAGAGGAAGACGGAGGAGGAGGGGGAGGACGAGGGAGAAGAGGGAGCAGGCGAAGGAGGAGAATGGAAGAGGAGGAGGAGGAGGAGAAGGTAGGAGAAGGAGGAAGTGGAGGGAGAGTAGTGGAATATGGTATGGGGGAAGGATAAGAGGTAGAGAAAGGGGGAGGGGAAAAATATGGGAAGAAATGAAAGAGTAGGAGGAAAGTAATAGGAGGATAAGGAGCAAGTTAGGTAGGAAGAGAGAAGACGAGAAAGGGGGGAAGACGAAGGAAAGGGAGAAGAAGAGAGGAGAATAGTAAAGTCGTGCAAGGAAGGAATGAAAGGGGTGGATGGTAGGAGAAGAAGAGAGAATAAGAAGAAGAAGAGAAGAAGAGAAGTAGAAGAGAAGAATGAGAGAAGAGAAGAAGAAGAAGAAAGAAGAAGAAGAAGAAGAGGAAGAGGAGGAGGAGGGGGGAGGAAAGAG